AGCTTAACCTCTCTTTCCAGCTTAACCTCTCTTTCCAGCTTAACCTCTCTTTCCAGCTTAACCTCTCTTTCCAGCTTAACCTCTCTTTCCAGCTTGATCACGCGGCCGCCGGTGACCCTGGCGTCGTCACCTGTTCGAAATTACCCCATGGGCAGGAGTTCCATTGCAGCATGTTGATAAGCGTGCCGTCCGGACTCTCCAGGAGTGTCTTGATATGAAACTTGATGGTCTCGGTTGGCTTCTCATTGAAACCCGTGGCACCGTTTCCCTTCCCATCAACGAGCCAAAAGCCCAACGTTCCGTGGGTGGGCTCGCCGTCTTTGTCGAGACGGCCATCCTTGATCCTGAGCATGACGGGCCCGTTGTAGGCAATGGGCTGGATCTCCCATTTGATCTGTCGGTCGCCACTATAGTACATCAACCATCCATAGAGCAAGCCCCGGATTGTATGCAGATAAACGGGCCGTTTCTCTCGGATCCAAGGGACGGTCTCCATGGCCCACATGAATCTGTCCATTCTCGCACCTGTGCGTAGAATGATTATGGTTTGTTCTGGGACCAGGTCAAGACCGGCTACGATGTAGAACCGTCTCCAGGCCTCAGGTTTGACTTGTGCCCAGGGGACCTGCTCGGACTTGAGCTCCCACTGAATGTAGGTTTCCAGTGGCTGGTGCATTCTTGTTTTGTCCTCTGAGGACGGAGGAAGATTGTTGTAACAAGGGTGTTTGGGTTGTTTTTGGACTGGGACTGGGACTGGGACTGGGAACCGTGAGCTTGTGAAAGTACCTTGGGGAGGGCAACAGCAGGAGGAGGGAGCATTGGGTTTGTGAAAGTCGCGTGAGGAGAGCCGCAGCAGAGAAGTATCATGCAATTGGGGAAGTACCTTGAGAAGAGCAATAGCAGTGGAGAGTCGCGAGCTTGTGCAGGTACCTCGAGAAGAGCAACAGCAGGAGACAAGAAGGTTGTAATAAGGGTGTTTTGGTTGTTTTTGTTTTGACTTTTTGGGAATGATAATCGTGAACAAAACGAAGTACTTTGAGAAGAGCAAGAGAAGGCAAGTGATTAGGTTCTGATTAGCAGTAAGATGTTGCAGGATGAAGAATGAAACCCTTCGATGGCCCAAAGCCAGCTTATATGGTTGTTCTAAGGGGTGATGAGAGGAGGGACAAGGCCACACAGAACTCGCGATTTGGTGGCTTGCTTCATCCTCATCTCATCCCATCTATGATGCAAAGATGGACTTTCCCAGGTGTGCACCAGGTGAGTACGAGTACCAGGTAAGGATGTTGAGCGGGATGCAGCTCCTACAGGTCATGCAGCTGGAAGTTGATGCGTGCGCACACCCCTCATGATGCCTGCTTATCACTGTGAGGCCGTTCCAGGCTGCAGTAGCGTGCATTCCAGGGCCCTTTCCCAGTCTGTGTGGCCAACCCTGGGGGTGGTGGGAAAACATGATGGCCCCTAACTTAGGGGCTCCCTTCGTTCGTCTATTCGCCTAATTAATTGCAAGGAGCCTGCAAGGAGCGACAAAGTGGAGTCACGAACATGTTCAGGCATGTTCAGCACAGTTGGGCACAGTTCACCCCCCAATACGAAAACCTCGTGTAACATGTTAGGGGGATTGAGTGGCATGCTGGCAGACCGAGATGGGCTATTGGCCAGCTTTCGGGCTGCCACCCACCTATGACTTATCTGCAAGGTCAAAACGTCAAAACCGGACGTACCGTGATCGTCGGACATATCACACTCACAGCCTGTCTCAGCCGGACTTTTTTCGACACCTTTCAAGGATGGCAAAGTGTGAACGAAACGAAAAGACCATTCGATCCGACGTTCTTTAGGTAGAGGCGAGCTGCAAAGCCCGAATTTCGCGACATATCGCTAGCCTCCGCTAGCCTAGTGTGTCATCCCTCACTCCCCGGTGGTGGGCCCCTTGTTCCGATCCTTGAAAGGCCCCTAATGGCCCGTGTGGCCGCCCTTGATGGCTCTAGGTTACTTGTAGTTAAGCCTGACTATTTAGCCCCAAGTCTGTGCTGTCCTGGGGAATGTTCGTTGGACACACCAGACGCCGGACACCAAACATCAGACACCAGTTACCAGTCACACCAGGCATCCTTGCACACACGAACACACAGAAGACACACGAGACACACCGACTTCATTGCATTGCATATCACCTTTTCGGAGGAGAATGGATTACCAAGACGGGAACGGGACGGGATGCGGCTGCTCTCTCTGCGAAGTCTTCGCCATCACCGTCGATGACATGTCCAAGGTAAGTCAAGGGTCCCCGATCCGAGAAGGAGAGATGGGAGTCTTTCGTATCGTATCACTGATCGGCATGTGTCTTTTGTCCGTGTCTCTTAGTCCCCCAACCGCGTCAGGCTGAGAGCTGCAAAGGAGGAGCTACATCGCGCATATACGGGCCAGAATGTCATCACCGACGAGCGGGAGAATGGCCTGTTTGAGGCGCTGGTTGGCCTGGCCAAGGAAGACGGCCTGCATGATCTACGCAAGATGTTGCAGCATCTCTGGGAGAGTTGAGCAATCAATAATCAATTCAGATCGAACTGCCAAAACCCACCGAATCAAGGACCAAGTAACCGAGTTGTATGAGATTCAACGAAACAACGAAACGACTTTGTTGGCAACCACGTCTCTGGCTCTTTTTTTGCTATATCCCTTTTTTGTCACCAACTATTGGTACACGCAACAGATGTGGGCAAGTCATCCCGCTCCATCCAATGATTCTCGCAGCAATGTCTTCAATCCATGACTTCAATCCGTGATTCCACAATTCGTTACGTGCTAGAACGACCAGTTGTTGGGATGCAAAGGCTCCAGTCTGTCCAGACAGCCTCGAGAGCCATCTCCGCCTCCAGAAGCAAGGCCCCAAGCTTCCAATAGCTGTAGTCACAACACTCAGCTACAAACTGGTCGTTGTTACGGCGTGTATTGCTTATGATTTCCTGTGAGTTGCGGATAAAGTTGTAGTTGGTCGTAAAGTCTGCTCGACCTTGCACGGAGCTCAAAGTTTGCACCATACCCCTGAGGATTTGAAGGACACCGTATGTATATAGGGCTAGAGACGCAACCTCCGGGCCCTGAGCGCGCGAGACGAACCTGTTCAATCCCTCACAGTACGCCTCCGATAGTGCCAGTTTGGACTTTGCCACTTCCCATCTTTGACAGGTCCTTGCCCAGGCAAGTTCCGACGCAAGTTCCGACGCTACAAAGCAAAGCGTTGTCAGCGAGCACTGGTTGGGTATACTGTATGAACAAACCTTTCAACTCCGCGGCTTTGGCTTCGTCCATGCGCTCTTTGCGGCCATCTGCCTCCCTGATTTGCACCGGATAGTAGTCGCGCCTGTCACCTTCGGCAGCACAAAAACTGCAAACAGGTTCAGGAATTACTCGATCACTCCAGGGTTTTTGTTGCCCACAAACGGTGCAGGGAGCGAGTAAAGCCAGATGCTTGGGTGCGAGAGGAACAGTGTTCCCGCGCTTCCTTGGCTTCGGTGCACGGATGCGCTTCTTTGGACGGTCAACCTTAATAGGTGCTCTCACTCCAGGTTGTCGAGGCAGGAGAGTACGACGTGCCATCTTGCTCGCCATGTGGTGCCTGTGCTGAGGTTCTGGAACGGGATGTCGAATTCAAATATGCCTTGATTTAGCTTCTGAACTCTTTTTTTCTTAGAACTCACAATCAACAGAGTTACTCAGAGCAATGAGATGTCAAAGTGTTTCACAAGGATAACACTCACCAGTGTCAAAGGGAAGTGCCTGCTGTGGGTAAAGGAAGATTGACAACGATACCGTCGGTGGGATTTGGCAGATGAAGAAGGAAGGGCCGTACCAGCCGCCAGTTAGGCTGAGGAACACTCGATCGATCAACTGGCCTTCTTCATCTTCATCATCCTTCTTCATATTTGTAGGCATCCTTGGAGTGGCAGACCGCGGACTCGGGCTACGGACCCAGATTTTGGTTTCGGCCACTGATGTTTCGTGCCTTTCGATGGTCTGATGCCCGGATGTAAGGATGACGTTATCCAGGAGCTGAATCTGGCAGGCAGCATTGGAACTTCGCTAAAGGTGTGGGTAACGAGCAATGATGGAGAAGGAGAAGAGCCTGCACTCCACCGCGGCTCGGCCATCTCGTGTCTTCCCATTAGTGCGATGGTCGTGCCCATCCGATCTTTGCTCGGGAATCTGATATCTGATCGATACATTGCTCGGCTCGTGTTCATGGCCTAGCAGCGTTCAATTGCGGCTCCAAGATACGGCTGAGGTTGATTCTCACGTCCTGATGTGGCGTTTCTGACTGCACTGTCCGCACAAGCTTGCACGATTATCCTTGCCGCCCTCATCTCAGCCTTCTCCTCTCGAAGATGGCTGTGGGAGTCGGACCTACGGAGTCAGATCCCTGCCAGTGCAAATGCAAAGTGAAGGGAGCGGACTCGACTTGCAACTATTCGTAGATGATGACACATAAGAAAACAACATGACTTTTTGGAACCTGTCCAATCTGCTCGTAGCACATCCTATCAGCTTCGTTGCAGCACCCAGCCCAGCAGACTCCCAACAGCAACACCCAGCCCAATAGACTCCCATACAGCGTCACCTTCTCCCCTGTGCGCTACCAAAAGTTATGCAAGCAGTGATCGCCGCTCAGGGCCACCGCCAGTTACCTCTTTCGCACCCGAACACCCCCATGCCCATCCTCGGTCAAAGTCCATCTTTCCTCATTGAGGGTGACGTTGTCCCCGTCGATGTGAAATGTCCACTCCTTTTCGTTACAACTGAGAGGGTATGACAGGAAGCATACAGACTTCAATGCACCGTAAGGGGGGTTTAAATATCGTAATGCAACAACTTTAGGGTCTTCCGTGCCAGGGTGGCTGTCTTGTGCCATTGCGATTACATCGTGCCAGTTGTCGCAATCCTCTTTGAACAGGGCGAGATAGGACCCGAACATTCGCTGTGTGTCTGTGATGGCCAGCGTCTCGAGGCGGGCGAACATCATGAAGAACAGTCCAAGGTCCTGCTCACCCGTCAGCATCGAAGTAAAACATCGGCAGAGTCAGCCTTGCAGTTAGTTTCACACAATCCAGTCGTCCTTTCACCGCCAAATTAGGAACAAAGGACATGAAGGGGTACAAGTCTACACAGCCAACGGTCAGCACTCAGTGCGCCCACTGAAATCATTCTCGTTCGTCCTCACCTATGAGCTGTGCGACTTTCCATCCGCGGAGGTTCATCAGCTCCACGCAGATCAAATCGAGCATATGTCTTATCTCCCCGAGAGCTGACTTCCAGTCCTCATCTAGCTCGCTTGTGATGGAAAGATGTCTCACGGAGGGACAAGCTCGTATAAGGCAACCGGGATTGTGCACTCCTGATATCCTGAGTTTCTTGACGCCTGGGAGCTGCACTGGCGGTCTCTGCAAGGCTCGTCGCAACTCGATTGCCAGCCCGGAGTCGTTTGCCAAACCAACGTGAAGGTCGGTGAGATTCGGCAGGGCTGCAAGGCAAGCCACAATGTCTTTGGCAATGCTCCGCGGACCAGAACCGTAGTATGTAATCCGATCTGGGAACAAATCGAGTGTCAGGTCGCTAAAGAAGTAAGCCAGGGATTCGACATGGCGAGCCTTGACTTACGTTATGTTGGATTTGACCAGGAGTGGTGCTTTGGCCAGAGCCTTGACATGCCTATGCAAGCCGTTGCGTGGTTGGTCCAGCTCCAGCTGCGTAAATGTGAAGAGGAATGGAAGGCACAAATAGCGTGTACGTTTGTCGACAAGTGAAAGCTGCATGAGGGTGTGCATGCTCGTTGGCTCGACTGGAGACAATGGCTCCGCGTCGGCAATGGTATTGATGATCTGCCACAGACAGCTTTCTGGTAGACGATCCATGTACTTCGTTGGCGGACGACCAGGCTCGAACTCCTTTGGCTCGGGCTCATCTATGAATTTCATAGGCGGATGCTGGGTTTTCCACATGGTGGCCAGGCTGTTTTGCAAAGCCATAGAAAAGATGGAGAAGACAGAAAAGGTGAAAAGGGCAGAAGAGCCTGTGGAAACGAAGGCAAAAGTGGTGGGAAAAATAGGCTGGGAGTTTTGGTTACGCACAGCTTCGATGACACAAAGCATAGAGGAGGGTAGATATACTCTGTACACTGGATGGTGTGCAAACGAGGCAGTCCTGTTGGATGCTGCCGTACCGATCCCCTGCTTGCAGTGAAGTGCCTTTCTAGGTAATACGAGTCTTGGTTTCGTAATTGAGTGTTGCTGCCAATTAACGACCGTCTCGATGGACATGTGTAATGCTTCCTCCAATCATGTGCCAGAAGAGCATGTTGTACGTAGTATTCACTAGGGAGGAGGCTGGATTCTCGTATTTGAAATGACCAATACAAGTAACCTCTCAAGTTCAGATTAGAATTTCAACTAGGATCTGGCATCTGGTCGCTTCACTTCTCGAGCTTCGATCTTACTACTTGTATACTATACGGATAGTAGTAGTGTTGGCGACAGGGCAGTTGCCCAGTCACGTGAGTGTTGCCTGGATGGCTGCCTAGCCTCACTCTTGGCGCTACCCACCAATCGGCTGCCTAGTTGGATTTCTGTCATTGTTTCATAGATTTCTCTCTCTCTAGCCATGATATAACAATTAATCAGTTCTCTACGCATTAGAGTCCTATAGGTTATAAGTTCCTTACGCGACTAATTATAGTGTTGCTGATATTAATTTATCGCTTTTACAGAGGTTTCGAGGCCGACGAGGCGTCTAGAGAAGACGCGGCGCTCAAGAAACGCTCGAATTAGGCCGTAATCTCGGTTAGAGGCTAAATCTTAAAATCTCGCTTATATAGAGACGGTAGCGAATATAACTTTATTCTACTCTATTAATTACGTAAAATTTACTTAATAGTATATTCTTCTTATTTTCTCGACTAATTTCTTTACTAGCGATTAATTAAGAAAAAATAAAAATATAATACTATAAGCTATTATTAGTTTTATAGTAAATTAAAATAATTAATCTTAGTAAATATTCTTCGTTTATTAGCCTAAAGTTTAAGTAGTAATTCTTCGTTATTAAATAAATATTTAGTTTAATAGTATTAATAATAATATATTATAATTAATATAGTTATAAAGAGATTATCGAAGAAAAATAAGGCGCGAACTATCCTAAAAAGTAAAAGTAACTATACTATCTAAATATTAATAGCTAAAATAAAATTATATACTAAAGAATACTTAAGTAATATTCTTAATAATAAATTATTAAATCTTAATAAATTAAATATTAAGAAGAGAAAAGCTTATATTATATAATAACTTATTAATAAAGGAAAATAGCTTAATAAGAATAATACTTTCTTTTCTTAAAAGATAAATAACGTAAAAGTTAAATAAAGAAAAGTAGCTTTTATAATATAAAAGGAATATTAAAAAGCTAGCGAGAAGGCTTTAAATATTATTTATAATCTCTATAATATTTATATATAAACTATTATTAATAAAAAGAAAAATACTAAAGATTATTAGAAATATCTTAAATAAATATATAAGTAATAGAGATTTATATTAATTTATAAGTAAATAAAACTAATTAATACTATTATCTATTAAAGTTATAATAGCTTTAAGAAATATATTAATAAAATAAAGTAAATCTAGTCTAACTTTATTATATTTAAATATTTTTTAGATAATAATATTTAATTAATAATCTTTATTAATAAAATTAGAGATTCCTTTAAAATTTTGATTTTATAGCTTTTATCTATAAATAAGGATATAAGATTATTTAATAAAATTATTTAGTTAATATTCTTTAAGAAATTTTAAAAGAAAATAAATACGAAGATAAGAGTTATTTTTAAGGTTTAGAATAAACGTAATAACGATAACTTATCTTTTAATAAAAAGAATAAAAATAAGGACTTATTTAGTAATAAATATAATAACGACGATAAAAATATAAAGCTTAAGAGAGAATAATATTAAGAAGAGTATATTATTTATAAAATCTTTAATTATAAATAAACTAATTATCGCTCGAATTTATAAAATATAGTATAAAGTAATAAGATAAGAAATAATTTATAAAAAGCTTCGAAAAGTAAAAATCGTAATAAAGATATAGATAAAACTACTAATATAACAATATAAATAAATTTTAATAATATAGTTAAAACTATTAGAAAATCTTTATAACATTAGCCTTAAAATAACGAGATTAAAACTATAAAGATAGTTTATAAATATAATTATATTATAACTATAAAAACTAATCCTTATAACTAAGAGAGTCTTAAGAATAGAGAGTAAATTTATATACTAGATAGCGAGACTTCTTATTATATAATATATCGATAAGATAACTATATTAATTATAAAGCTATAATAATAGCTATTAATATTATAAATAACGAGAGAGTTTATATAAAAAGCTATAAAAATATTATCCTTAATTATTTAAAAGACAATAATATTATAAATATTTAATTTAATAAAGTCTAGTATATATTAAATCTTAATTATAATCTTCTTAATATTATATCCCTAAAAGAATAAAATATAGAGATAATATTTAAAGATATTAATAATATACTTAATAATCTATATAAGAACTATAATAAAGTATTATTGATTTTATAAATTAATAGAATCTATCTATTAAAGATAACTAGTATATAATCGCGACCGACTTTACTAAAAACTATACGATATAACTATAGCTTTAGCGATAAAGGGTAAGGATATAGCGTATATCTAATATCGTTAAATAAACTATCTAAGAATAAATAATATTAAAAAGTTACGCGATATCGCTAATAGTATAAATTTTAAAGGTTCTATAAATTATAAATACGACTATTATCTTCTTATAAATTAGATATAATCTCTATAAAATAGAGTAATATTTAGTAAAGTAACTATTAGAGAAAGCCTAATCTATACTAACTTATTTAGTTTATAGAATATTATTAATCTATAAAACAATCGTTATATTATAATTATTATCGATAATTTTATATATTAGATATAAATTTACTTCTTAAAAATAAAAGATAAAACTATTTATTATATAAAAAAATATTAATAACGATAATCTAACACTAGTTATTTAATTAAGATAGTCTATAATAATAAAAAGAAAAAGTATCTAGATATTACCTTATAAAGATACTTAAAAGATTAAGATATCTTTAGCGAGCTAATAGTTAGCTATAGCTCTAAATCTAATAGTATTATAAAGCGTATAAATTAAACTCTTATAAGTAAAGTACGCGCTATAATAAAAGACGTCTATCTATCGAAGTTCTTATAAAAGAAGTTAATGACGATAATAGCGTACCTTTAAAATTATAATCTATTAAGATTATTAAAAGAGAAGACTCTATTTAAAAAGATTAATAGTATTAAACCTAACTTATTTTACTTATAGATTATTAAATTAAAGATATTTATTTATATATTAAAGGAAAAATATAAAGGTAAACTTATTAATAAAGAAAAGTTTTATATTTTAGTTAGATATAAATAAGAATAATATATTTATTATATTTACAATTCTATAAAGTAATAGATTTTAGAGATATAAGATATTATAATAAATAAAGTAAATAATAAAAGTTATTTTAAGAAATCTATTATAAAGATTAAGGATTTCGACGAGAATAAAGATATTATAGATACTTTTAAAGTACTATACTTATTATTTTATAGAGAAGAAAATCTTAAAATTAATATAATAGAGATAGAATAAACTCTACTATCTTTAAAGCTAAAACTACATTGTAGAGAGTATTAGCGATATCCTACTTAAAAAATAATTAAGAATATAACTATAAGCGCGGTTCTTAATACTAGTGTAATTATAGATTTAAAAAATCTCTTTTATAAAGATACTATTAATAGTTTTAATAGAGAGAAATAACGTTAAATAATTACGATATAAATTAAGGAATATATCACTATTAATACTTAATAAGAAGTTTAATACTATCCTAGTATAAATATATTATTAAGGTATTAGATTCTAATTAAAAAACTAGATCGTAAGAAAATAAGATAAATTATCTATAATAATAAATAAATTAAAGGATAAGACTATAACAATATTTATATTGTAGCGACTAGATCTAGTTCTATCTAATTATTATTAACTATTATAACGATTAAAGATCTTAAGATAAGATAAATAAATATAATCGATACTTTTCTTAATACTAGATTAGTAAAGAAAATTTATATAAAACTTTTATATAGCTATAGTAAAAAGGGTATTATCTATTAAGTTCTTAAAACTATATTTAGTCTTTATTAATCTCTACGAGAGTAGTAGTAAAATATTTTAAAGAAACTTAAGAAATTAGGTTTTAAGTAATATTAAAGAGATTATTTTATTTATATTAATATAGAGAGTATAATTATTTTTCTTTATATAAATAATTTAACGTTATTTACTTAATTAAAAATAGCGATAATATAAATTAAATAATAATTATTAAGCGCTTATAAAATATAAGATATTAATAATCTAAAGATATTTATAGGTATCTAAGTATTATAGTTATTGAGATAATATATTTTTATTTATTAGAAAGACTATATAAATAATATTCTCGAAAAATATAAATTTCTAAATAATAAGGCTATTAAGATACTATTTAATAATAAGATAGTATTAAAACTACGCGATCCTAAAGATCTTTACTCTAAAGCGATAATTAAATAATTCTAGAAATAGATAGAATTATTTAGATAGTTAATACTAGAAATATATTCTAATATAGTCTATATCGTCTCGAAATTAATATAATATAATACTAATCTATCGTTAATTATAGTAGAATATATAAAATATCTATTCCACTATTTAAGAGAAACTACTAACTAAAGTATTCTTTACTAAAAAGGTAATAAAATAGTATAAGTTAAAAGCTATTTTAATAGTAATTAAAGAGATCTTAACTTAATAAATAAATAATTGATATTAGGCTATACTTTTAAACTAGCTAGCAATATAATTTTATAAATATCGCGAAAGTAAAGAATAACTACAATATCGACGACTAAAGTTAAATATATTATAGAGTATATAGCGATAAAAGAAGCTATCTATTTACAATAATTTATACTTAAATTAAGTAAATTCTAGAAGAACTATTTAACGCTTATTTATAAAGATAATATTAATACTATTATAATAGTATAGAGTTTAATATAGTTAAAGACTTATTATATTAAGTTTTAGTATTACTATATAAGAGAGAAAGTCGCTAACGAAACAATCACTTTTAAGTATATCCGAATAAACGATATAGTAACTAATAATATAACGAAACCATTAGTATAATCTAAGTTCGAGAGATTTCGACGATAACTAGAAATACGATAACTATAAGATATCCTAAGAGGATAAAGGAACAACGCTCCTATAGACTAGGAATTATAGATTTTTACGCGTATACCGCCGCTATCCTTATAAAGAAAGAAGACGTAAATAAAAGGGCGTAGTCTATATAAAAGCGCAACTAAAGCTAAAAAGACTAAATCTAACGAGTTTTTTAAAACTATATATTAATTTTTTCGATTAATTAAAGCGCTTAAAATTAGCATTAAAGAGAATATTTTTACGAGCGCTAGACGGCGTTACGATATTTAATATTTTTAAGGGAAATTAGCAAAAAGTATATAAAGGTACAAAAAGTTATTAGGCTGACAAACTAAATTAATATAGGAAACGGCAGAATTTATTTATAGCGTTGAACCAACAGGGATTAGGTGTTTGCGCGCCAGAGTGATGGGGGGGTGTTGGCGACAGGGCAGTTGCCCAGTCACGTAAGTGTTGCCTAGATGGCTGCCTAGCCTCACTCTTGGCGCTACCCACCAATCGGCTGCCTAGTTGGATTTCTGTCATTGTTTCATAGATTTCTCTCTCTCTAGCCATGACATGACAATCAATCAGTTCTCTACGCATTAGAGTCCTACAAGTAGTAGCTTTGCGGCGAGACTTCCCTCACCCTCGGCCCCACGGACTCAGCTCACGATGGCTCCACGGATCCTGCAAGTCTGTCTCCCTTTGATTGACGGGCCGATCTCTGTGCTCGGAACACCAACTTATTCCCACTTGGAATTGGGGCTAGTGAGGTGATTTGCGGGGAAACACCCTGGGGCTCGAGTCAAGACAACTGAGTCTGGCCCGGCTACACTTGCTTTCCACAAGTCCCAAACCCAGGTAGCAATGCAACCTTTCTGCGGAGTCGAACAGATCAAGTGCATCCAGCCATGATCACAGGACAGGCGCCAGCGGGCCTCTCTCCCAATGATGACGAGACGAGCTCTAGTTACGAGTACCGTGGATTGGCCAGAGTACTTGGTGGCGGCCAACCACCGAGCGAAATGTCGCTGTGACAAGGTCCGGAGAAGCCCAACCAGGGCTCTGAAATTGCATGCCACCACGATGCCAAACATATACGAGGTACTTTCTTTCGGGAAAGCGTTGGGCCGGACACACGGCCCAAATCAGGTAAAGCCACCAATTGCATGTGGTCTTGTCAACACCAACCCGAAAGGCTGAAAATGAGATACTACAGCCTTTGAGGTTGAGAGACTGTCTACGCCTTAGTTCAACAGAATCCTCTTGAAGAGACCAACACCATGATTTGAAATACTAGTATCGACGAGTGTCCTATCTCCCTGCAGCCTTGTCCACCCTCCAGCAGTCTCGACTTCTCCAACCCGCAGCCATGGCCGCACCGGCTGAACTCACCTGCGCCAGCCTGTCTGGCAAATTTTACATAGTGAGTGCTTATTGATCGTGATGAACTTGAGTCGCCCTCTGACAGCATGCAAGAACACATCCCTCTCTGACGGAGTCGAGGCGATGCACACTCTCCAAGGAGCGAGCTGGACGGTCCACGAAGCATTTCTAGCATTCGCGTATCCCGTTGTGGTGCGTTCTGAGACGACGCCAGATCATCGTTTCCCCAACTTGCCATGTCTGACTCGACACAGCTCACGATCAAATCCTATCGCCGAAATCGGCTCCTCCATATCGACATCACCACAGCCGTTGGCGGAAATCCAAGAACGGAAGACATCCGTGTACTGGATTGGCATGATGCCGAACATCTCGACGCATTGATTAGTGGCAAGTGCCAACACAAATCACGACTCTTCAAGACCGGCCAACTCCAATTGCAAGGTCCCGGATCGGCCGACGATGCCGCCTTCCTGCAGGCGGAGAAGCTCCCTAACGGCACCACCGGCTCGGGCTTTCTGGACGACGAACAGCTTCAAACTTGGTCCAAAAACATTGATGGTCGGGGGTTCCAGAGCGAGGAAGTCTGGGGGTTTGAAATCGCCCAGGGCGAACGACGGCTTACCAGACGGGTCGTTACATGGACCGTGTACAGGGTCCAGTGGAGCAGGTTCGTGTTTGACTACAGAGGAGAAGTCGTAGAGTGCAACGGCTTGTCAGACTATTGAATGAATTACTCGTGCTACGATCCCAGATCACTCATCCATCGAGCAGAATGCTACGTTCTCCAGTCCATATCAGCCTGAGCAGCATGGCTGATTTGAATTGGTTCTTTCGAAATTGGTGGTGATAGTCCTGCCCACGCCCGACCATGGTTCACGTTCACGCACAACTGCGATGTGAAGCCAGCCAACCGCGAGTGCAACTCAGGGACCAACGGACACAGCGTCACAGTCTTAGAGTCTTCTGTAGCATTCAATCGTGAAAAGCTGATGTTTGGGAATACTGTACACAAACCCACGCATAACAAGATGCCATTCCTTTATGGGACCTTGCCAAATGTTCCCGCCCGCCGGTCGCCAGCGAAAACTGCAATCCCGCCAGCCATGCGCATCAATATCCAACCGAGCCGGTCACCAATGATCCGGAGCTCACCCCATCACTCAAGTCCTTTCAATCACAGTATACCCAGCCTGGTCCAAAGGCTTACGTTGTGCTCGAGGTCTGGAATGACGGGCTGCCACGCTCAGAGTCGAGTACCAGTCGAGCTGCCAACCCATGGCCGATCAAAGGCCGAATCACGCCCAGAGGAGAAACTCTTATCCAAGAATTGTTGAGGAGATGTCTGTTGAGTACCTAAGGGTCCGGGCGGACGAGCCCCTAACTATATACTGTAGCTGTCGGGTAATTGGAATGCCTGAGTTTGACAGCTCAATCCATAGCCAGCCTTGCAGGCACTGCAGGTCATCCTCAGCGCTCAGCGCTCAGCCCACTATGCCTGCTCCAACTGTGCCTAAAGCTGTTCTCATTGCCACAAGCCCCTTGGACGTCAGATACGCTCAGTGAACGCCAGCAACCTCAATTGTTCGAGAAGAGAGAAGGAGCCGTGTCACTCGGGCTCACTGGCATGGCGTCACGCCGGCAGAAACAAGCTTCAGCGTATGGCTGGCTCGTTGTCGCTGGCAGAGTTCTCAGGAGAGTCTATCGCCTCCTTACCTTCCAATCGCGGTACGTGCATTATCGCAAGCAACGCCACTGGCCGGGTTGTCCGTGTAACGAGAGAGGTTACACTGATCCTTCGAGTGTAACCTCTTCTTGTTCCGTTACACCACCGTTGCAGTGTTACCTGACAGCAACAACTCAATAAAGACCTCTCGCGAACTCTCTGGAGCGACAGCCGCGTTTGCGGCACCACTTACATCGATTGTTTCGTTCTTTGTCCTTTGAAAGTCCCACGCGACAAATCTGGGGAACCCTTTTGACAAGGACAGGTGTTGGCAATTGCCGAGTCACGTGAGTGTTGCCTGGATGGCTGCCTAGCCTCACTCTTGGCGCTACCCACCAATCGGCTGCCTAGTTGGATTTCTGTCATTGTTTCGTAGATTTCTCTCTCTAGCCATGACATGACAATCAATCAGTTCTCTACGCATTAGAGTCCAACAACAGGAACTGGGCGATCAGGTACCAAGGGGGACACTCTGTATGTCGCCTGATGGACACTTGATCAATGGCATTGCACGAGGCTGGCCTCGAAAGGGGAAACGGCGACAAAGCGGGCAGATTCATTCTGCCAGTCATCCTGTCCAAGCCTCAAGACTTCATCAATCTCTTCCCGCCCCAGCACTTCATCATCTCGTTCACGCCTCAAGACTTCATCATCCTGTTCGCGTCTGGAGACTTCAGCCGGCAGGGAGGACGAGTCCGACGAGCGACGAGCGACAAGCATCCCAGTCACCCCAGGCCATCATGAATCACTTCCGTACTCTTTCGGTTATCACTCGAAAAGCCACATGAGCTCATGGTATGTGTTCTGCAAGCAAACCCCTCTCACACTTCATCTCAACATGAAAGTCGGTGAAGCAGCTGGCCAATGTCGATGTGCCGTCTCTTGCCTTCTTTCCCTGTTGTCAATGATCAATCCTGGTAAGCGGGATCATGCACATCTTGGGGGGTTCGGACTCGGTAGAAGTGAGTCTCGCCCCCTTGCCCTTGCTTCCTGCTGAAATCGACGATCCGCTTTTTGGGACAGCCAGCTAGGTGCCATCCATTCCAAGGAAAGGAGTGACATCCGGCAACGCTTGACAAGCAAGGAAGGTGGAAAGTGAAAAGTGGAGGGCCAGGAGCGGCTGGATCCAGTGTTATGGGTGGTGCATGGCTCAAGCCGTGATGAACAAGCTGGCCTCGTGTACCAAATGTGTTCCATCACAGCTGTGAACAAAGCCCAAACACAGGCACACCTGAGACATAATCAACCAAGACTTCTTTGGGAGTACTATTACGGAGTGGCACCTGAGACGTTTGCTCGCTTGCCCCCAGGTATGAGACAACAGAAGACGTGATGCGGTAATGTCCATGGCTGGTGAAACGAAAGCCAGGATTCACTGGAATCCAGATCACCGTTTTGGAGAATCAATGACGAGCTGCCGGGTTTTGCCGTGCCGCGTCTTGTCTCTTCTCGCTGCGACATTGGTCAGATGTAGTGTCAAGCATGGGAAAGAAAGGAAAGGGAACAGGTCAGAAAGGCAACAATAGACGAGCGACATACATGCAGATCCACAACCAAGGGCTTTGTATCGAAAAGGACAATTGTTGAATGAATGAACCACTCTGGAGTGAGGTGTGAGGCGGCGTCGCACATCTGTGTGACCGGGGGAGGAGACGCAGATTACGAGTGACAGACACTGTTTGGATGAAGTCAATTGGATGATCGCAGGATATCACTCTGGCAGGGCGCCGTATATTGTGTGAACTGGCGAAAGCGTGCGTAGTAGATTGGAAGTGACAGATGCTGTTCGGATGAGTCTATTGGTACGACAAACAAGTACTTGCATGGTTCACCAAAAGTACACAACCCTGAAAGGATCGAAAGGTTTATTTTTGCCGCTTGTCGAACCAGAGACCCACGATGGGGGCGGGATATTCAGGTGGTTCATGAGACATGGACTATGAGGATGGACATGCCATGACATTCCCATGACAGGATCTCGGTGGGAGCGAAAAAAGTCTAGTTGGATTAAGCACGACTAAGCTAGTTATGATGGACACAAATGGACACAGATGGACACAGATGGACACAGAACACGGGCGGGGACACGGGGGCCACGGGGACACGGGGAAGGGTGTCCCAGGTGGATGCCAGGCGTCTAGATTGTCCGGCGCGAGCGATCAAACTGGATCAACTGGATGTTGCAAGCTGTCAATCCGAACTTGTGGCGTCAGTGCACCCAATGCATCCAATCCCGCGCCTTGTCTGTCTTCCGGTCTCTCGCTTGACTGGCTCGCCAAGGCAGATGGTTCAGAGATCATTGGTCGATCCAGACGCTCCTGGTCAGTGCTTTTTTCTATCCAACATCATCGAATACGAGGATCAAAATCTGAGGCACAACCCCGACAAGGACTTGCATCACCATCACCAACAGCCATGGTGATAACATTCTTTCCATACCAATCGGCTCCAGCAGGAGACAGGAGGCTAGGCCGATCTGAGTCGCTTGTTGCATGCATAGGGTGATGGGAGAGAGTGGGAGGTAGGGGTCTTCCCAAGTCAACATGATTTCTTTCATCGTCTTAGGTTTGGCTCCATTACATTCTACGACTTTATAACTGACGGCTCATATCTTCTTCTTCTTCCTCTCCTTCTTCATCTCCATCTTCCTCATCGCCTTCTTCAGCTTCATCTCCATCTTCTCCTCTTTCTTCATCTTCCTGTTCCTGACTTCCCAGTTCCAAAATGACCCAGACCGAGACACCGGAGACGACGAATCCCTCCACCAGGCCTAGCCGGGAGGTACCAAGTTGGGCCCGATCCGCAAGAGATCCCGCCCTGCCATTGGTCCTTAGGCGTAGCCTTCCTCCATTGACCATGGAACCTGTCCTACAGCCATGGACCGTACAGCCTCCGTCATTGCCTGTGACACCTCCCGTTCCTGTGGAGCAATTCACCGGGAGACTTATCCTGCAGCGATTGGACCCCGAAGCCCGAAGGGTTCTCAGCCAAAAGTACGTTTTCTTCCACGACAACGAGCTCCAGTATCATCCCACAAGGACCTTCCACCCGTGGAAGCCAGAATATCGAACCCACCCGTCTCCGCTATCTATATGGAGTTACAGTTGCTATCCCACCACGTTTGTCGACTACGACGTTCCCGATGCCTCCAAGGTCCGAGTCTACATGCCAAGATTCGGTGCCCGCCGCTCCGGGGTGCCGGCATTGCTGTGGTGTTCAGGAGGTCATCTTTGCTCCTGACTTTCCCCCATGATCTGCGAGCTGACCAGAACCAGGTGGCATGGTGCTTGGAAACATTGACAGCGACCAAGGCCTGCTCACACGAATAGCCAGCAGTGAGTGTCATTCATCTATTCTCCCCCTGCAACTCGCCGTGCTGACGTCCACCAGAGCTGCAGTGCGCCGTGGTTCAAATCGACTATCGTCGTGCACCAGAGCACCCATACCCGACACCAGGCAACGACGTGGCTGCGGGCTACGAGTACGTGTACCGCAACCGCAGCCGCATGGGCCTCAATGGCTGTTTCGTTCTGGGCGGCGCATCAGCGTGAGTTTTTCCCCCTTGCCTGTGGAACTGTTGGTTCCTGACAACCCCATACTGACGAACACTGCGTAGCGGGGCAAACCTGGCTTTCGTCACCGCCCTGCGAAGAGTGCAGGCTGGCCTGCCGATGCCCGTTGGCGTACTTCTCGTTGCACCGGCGCAGCTTGACAACACGCTGACCGTCGAAAGTTTTGACGGCTGGAGGAACATGCAGCATGCTCCATGGACCGGTGTCGATGCGGCCATGAGTTTCAGGCAACTGTACCTTCCTCGTGGAGGACATGCGATAGATTGGCAGCAGAATCCCCTGAACTTCCCGGATGAGATTTTGAAGGACGCTGTGTTCCCACCGACGTTCAATCTGCTGATGGGTGTCGATCTGTTCCTCGAGGAAGGAAAGATGCTCACGGCCCGGCTGCGTCAACATGCGCACGTCGTGAGGGAGAAGATCTTCCCCGGTCTCCCGCACATGGCCCCTGCGATGGGCAGAATGTTTCCCGAGGTGCTAAGAGAGATACGAAAGATTCTCAAAACCTTCTTCACCGTTGACGCCATGGTGTACCACGACTTGCCCGGAGACCACGCCTTGGACGTGGGCATGTCCCCACAGCACTGGCTGGCCGAGATGTGTGCCGAAGATGATGAGGATGTGTGCCAATGTAACCGCACCGGCGTGCGTAGGTAGGCTGCGGCGGCGCTGGCAGTCTCGGTTGCAAGGTGGAAATTCACCGTTACGACGGTGTGATCATGGGCAAATTGTAAAACCTGGAGACGGTTGGTCATGGGAAGATTGGAAAACCCTTGGAGGTGGTTTGATCATGGGCAAATTGCCAAAGAGAAAGGAAGGCTGAGCTACAAAGCAACGAGTCAGGCGGCGCTGGCGGTTCTGAATCACACGAGGAATACTAATGTATGACGGCTTGGTCACGGAGAAAATTGCAAAAACATGAGCTACATAGCAACGAGTCTCGGATATCAGTAACGAACAATATGAATTTTCTTTGGGAGCTCTTATGATTCGAATAACCTTCTCACCTCGTTGAGTCACTCTCACCCGCTGGTCCAGCAGTCCTCTGAAGATTGAATTTCTACAACCCAGTGACCTCTCGCTGCTCCCCAAGACATCCAGGCATCACTCAGCCAACTCTGAGAGCAGTGAGAGATCGCTTTGCCCACTCTGAGGGCAACCACGGATCATTCAGCCGGATCTGGGACCAGCGAGAGATCACTCAGCCAACATTCGGCCGGCTGTGGTGCTCTGGAGACACCGTCCATCGACCTCATCAACTGCGGGAACGGCTGGTTGCTCATCGTGTCTGGCTGTGCTGTACGATACGCCAGCGGTGCCGCTGGCACAGCGCCTGATTGCCTTGAATACGAGCCACCATCGACTCGTCTGGACCGGACATCCGACAGCCCTTCGTGTTGTTGAGAGCCAGTGCAAGAGATAAGAGACCCTGGCACGCCTGGGTAAGCATATGTTTGCTTTTCGAGTGCCCGATGACATTCGATACACCGACTATCTGACGACACGACTTGACAGGGATGGAAGGATCGAGAGGGGGAAGATGTTCAGCTCCTCAGAATTGTGCAGCCGCCAGCAGGGATGAACTTCGACGGACGTGCAGCAGGTGTCGAGTCGACCATGGACAAGGATAGACGTTTCTAAGACCAACTACCCGACTGACATCCACTTTTCAGAGAGAAAGCCGGAAGAGAAGAAGTTCAGCTCCTTCAAAATCTGCAGCCACAACCCGGGATGAATTCGAATTTCCCAGAGATGCCTGCCGTTGTCGAGTCGACCCGACCGACCAAGGGCGCGGCTGGAGACCAGCCATCGATCCAAACTTCCGGCATATGCAGCATTGGCTGAGTCGACATGGACGAGCGTGACGAGAAAGGACGTTGCCGAGTCCCAGCCATCCAGCCGCTTTTTGCAGGGCCACCCCTGGACGATTTTCCGGGGAGGTGTGAGTTTGTCCTCTGTAAGCGAGGGAGAAGTGATAGGCCTAGAATTGGTAGACCTCGTACTCGTGAGTGATTGAGAAAGCGGAAAGAAGCAGGCAACGAATCACGAAAGAGTGTGATAGATCAGATCCAGCTCCTGGCAATCTTGTACTGATCCGCCGGGGGGAACTAGGAGCCTGAAAGTTGGATCCCCATTGCGCTAATTTATTGCCTTCGTATTCGGAGAGCCTGACTCGCTTTGGGGAAAACGTGTGTGTGATCTCCACGACTCTAACCACATACTGTTGTAGTACGAGGTAGAGGTCGATGAACCTTACGAGTACTGTACCAGGACGACAGTGGACGACGTCAGGGCCGCACATCTTGCTGATCACCACACCCCGTAGGCGAGAGCATCCGCACTTGCCGCACTCCGCAAAGCCTCCAATCACCTTACACCTTTCGTCCGTATCCTGGTCGACAACCCCAGTCGAGGCATGTACCAGGGATGCATCCAGCTCCGCGCCTTGGCATTGTACTAATCAAGCAAAAGCAAACAGCAAACAGCAAACAACATGGCAAAGAATAGCGAGATCAGCAAAGGACAATGATTGGCTGACTTAGTGACAGCCCCAGGATGGTCCCGAGGTTTACAAAACACGTGGACGATCGTGGATGTGGGCATCATGCGGAATGATCCATGACGGGGTTGGCTTTGAATAGCGCGCCCCGCACAACACCGGTATGACAGCGTCTGATTGTTCAGCAAAAGCAGCGTTTGTGGTCAATGCTGGTCTAGCCCAGTATAGCCCCTGAACGCCCCTATCAGATTGAAACGTTGCATTTTGTCGGCTTGGATCGTTGAAAACAGCAGTGCTTTTTCTGACCCACTCAGGACCTCTCATGTCTTGACCCCTGCTGTTACGAGTACTTGTAAGCACATACATGTTCATGACAGTATGAGTGACAGTAGCAGTGTCACACTCGTGCCTTTGACATGATGATAGCCATGCCAGATTGGAAGGCCAAACCGCCCGCCGCGAAATAATATGCCATGTCGTTTGTTGAAAGTTTCGACGATCCGAGTGCTAAGACCCGCCGCTTACAAGATCGAGGAGCCTACTTTTTTAGGCTCACGGGCCCGTTAGTTAGGCGGAAAGTTACTCGGTTATTACCAAAGACCATCGCCATAAGATCTTAACTAAAGAAGCCCAAACTTAGAGGCGAGCTAGGTAATAAGGTATCTAGCGAGCCTATTCTTTAGCCAACCTTATGGGCGCTAGTCCTGGCCCTCGGAAACGTCAAAAATGTCCGCTGAATGAAAGGACATGGGCACGTATATCGCAGACCATCCCCGGGCGCACGCCAGCACGGCGTCGCAATCAAACAGCCCGATTGCCAACTCAACTCGCATAATGCTGTGTAACAGACTCCGTACAGCCTCATGACTCTTCACATCCATGGCACCTGGCTAACTTGGGAATAACCCAACTGGGCTCATCTCCTTCATGCCGTGGGTCGCCTCTCGCACTTGCTCTTTCTTTTCTACTTCAAGAACGCAGCCTAACCAGCAGTTCAGAAAGCGTCCTGTTACAAGCCATCCCTTTTCTTCGTCTTATCAGTAACTCTGCCCATAGTTATTGCAACGATGGTTCAACCTACCTACACTGGGTTCGTGGAGACTCGTGATGACGCGATGATACTGATCATGGCTTGTCTTCGAGGCGACTTGAAGCTCGTCCACAAGCGACCTTCCTGGAAAGAACGGCCTTCCTTGTTGCACAGCGGACACATTTACATCTACGAAGAGACAGCGACCGGCATTCGACGTTGGATGGACGGCGGACTCTGGACCCCGACTCGCGTCATGCGCGAGTTCGTCATCTACGGAGAACGAGCAGATCGAAATCGACTTTACCCGGAACGAAAAGATCCCAGTCTCCGAGCTCAACCGCACCAGGGCTTCGAGGTTGTCAACGATAAGGGGGTCTCAGAAACCATATCGCCAGGGTGGGAGGCACGGCTTTATGGGTCTTTGCGAAGATCTTTCAACATCAAGTCCAATGGCCTGATCAGGAAGAGCATCAGCATCAAGGAGGATGTCAACCCCAGGACGCCTCGCCTCTCCGTCCCTATTTGGCATCTGGTGTCTTACTACCGGCCTGTTGATGTTGTGCAAGGTCGTTTGAGGACTCCTTCGATGGACGAGAGCCTCACTCCGCAACCGTGGCAGTTTGATCGACTTGCAATACCACGCCTAATCCGGGATAATGGCCGACGACCTGTGTCAAGCTTAACCCTATCCTTGCCACCAATGCGCCAGTACCGCAACATTTCCGATTCGCAGGTCACCGAGCCAGACAGTCAGCCAGACACGCCCGCGCCGCCGACAGAGTTCAGACAATCTTACGATCCACACACCGGCTCTCTCCGCTGGGATCCGATCCCACCACCTGTACCTTTCGGATGGCACCGGTATCCTGTCGTGCCTGTCCGGATCCAGTGATGGACCGTGTCGTTCAAGTCCAATTGAGAGATGGCCCAAAGCTTTCACTCACATGGCTCGATACGGTGGCGGTATCAATCAGACCCTCAGGGCAAGATATGGGCATTCAAAACTCTGGAAGGCTTGCAGAGAGATATATTGAGATCAGGTAGCTGGTGACAGGAATGGGCATGCATGGGACGATGCTGGACCAGGACGGCGCAGCTCCAACTGGGCATGTCATGGCATTCCGCAATTTGGGTTTGGAACGGACCACAATGCATATGTATCGACCCTCGGGGACCAGTATGTAGGACTTTTGGCTCACGCAAATACACGCAGTTTCAATGATGTCTTCACAGCTTTCCTCTTGCAGCTCATTCTAGAACAGCATCCACGACTTCAGGCGGCATGACATCAAGATCCGGTTTCATTTTCTCTTGGCCAGAGTCCTTGCACTCCTTCATGTCGATAATACATGGCTCCCGTCGTCAAAGGGATGTTTGTCTTTTCTTTCTTTTCCCGCTTATTTGCCTTCCAACTCACCATCGGAGGCTCATCGTCATTCTCACACTCTTGATAGCATCGCCTGCGGTGCATCGATGACACCGCTGCGTTCGGTTCGCCAGCATTGGTGTCTTTTCTTTTTGCAGCAATCGCAGCATGAGTTTTTTGGTTTCCCATGTGAGAGGTCCAGCAGCGAGGCAGCCGATTGGCATTCCACTCATTCTCTCAACAGTTTATCGGCTCTGGTCCTCCAGCATTCGATTTACCGGCACGACATGGCCACCCTCGTGCCTCATGTCGCACGGACCTGACTGCTGCTTGGTGACTTGCCATCCTCCCACATAAATTGTCTTCGCTGCGGTTTTGTCGTCAAACGGCACCGTAGCGCTAATTACACGATTTACTCACGGGATCGTAGTACGTACTGGCTGCGAAATGGAGGACAGTCGAACATCCTTGTTCCCAGCGTTCAATGCTATAGCATGCTGCACCGAGCTACAAAAGCCTATGGAGTGATCCAAAAACAGCATTCTCAGTAGAAGCTAATCTGAAAGATCTATATCGAGAATGGGACGAGAAAATCCGACCAGGTTAACTCGCCCACAGCCGGTGACGAAAGCGTCGGATGGTGAACGGTAAGGACGGTCACCTTCGCCGAGAAAGCGACAGAGATACAATCCCTCGGCTTCGGCCCCAATCGCCACGGCTCAATGGCCGTTCGAACGCACTTGAGACGCAATTCCTATCCGCCGAGTCTCTTGAACGACGAGCAGGATGCAACACCAGGTCATGAGGGGACCGACCAGTTTGACTGTACAGCCCGTCACGTCTGCCGACGCCCCTGTCCTTGTGACTGTCGTGGAGTACTTGGATGCAGTGACGAGCCTGCTGGAGTGCCCAGCCGCCTGGCCTTGAGCTGCGGTCCTGCTCACATGCCTCAACTGGCCAACATCAGGGCGAAATAGTTGCTCGTTGCCAACAGCTGAATGGTCCCAGCCACGGTACCTCGGCCCAATGACGGACGCTCGGGCCGGTGGAGAGGGTGGTCGACGTGCCGCCTATTTCACTGGCGGCAACGGCGGCGTACCACCCGCACCGACGACCGGAACGACCTCGACAACTAGGGTAGCATCTACTGTCCGAGTAACAGGGGAACAGCAGCCGGGTTTCCCAGAGTACCAGCGTCAATTGGAGGCCAGCGGAAGTCACACCTTGATAGACGCTACCCTAAAGTCAAGCTCAATGCATCCCGAGAGCAAATCGAGGCGGCTCCGCGAGGTAAGATTGGGGAAGTGGTGGCAGAAAGTCGAGCCCGACGGCGAGAAGGATCGGAAGCGATCCACTACTCCGTGGTAGATGTGCCAGGCCGAATGACTGCTACATCAGCAGGCAGGGTGCACGACTGCCGCCATCCTTTCCTTGTCTTGCTTCGTGCTTTCCAACTTCATCTTCGTGCGAGGAGGTCCTAGATGTTTGTGGATGATAGGACAGTGATCATGTTGGCATACCAACCCTTCGGGTATCCCTCTCCCAACAAAGTCAGCAGTGGGCTGTCAGTATACATATTGGCAGCAAGCTGAGGAGGTGGAGACAGTGATGGCACCAAAGACCTCGCTGCTCGAGGGTTGAACTCGTCATGATCGGATGCAGCGAGACACGGGATGGCCTCTTCATTGTCAGAGATTCTGACTTCGTGCCTGGAAGGGTGTAGCTGGCTGAGGCAGTCGCTAATACCTGTGTCTTACACGTGGATTCTGTCGATGAAAGGAAAGGTGGAAAGGTGGTTCGTGTCTGGCTCGCACCGAGAGGGGCGATTGTCAGGAGCCAATGGGTTTCGAGCCAACCTTGAGAGGTTGAAGCGATTCGGGATGAATCCTCAGTGAGATCCGACGCTGTCTAGCATCCTTGCTCGATCCCAAGGCAAAAGTAACGTGGATGATGGTCTTGCCTGAAAGGATTTGACGCTGCACACCGCGCAGGCCGGTGCCTCAGGCTGTGTGCTGTGTCGATAGTTTGAAGACATCTTAAGAAGGGTGGCATCGACGATTGGCTTCATGCATGTGCCAATCTCTCAATGTCAGAGCACCGATTCGATGTATTTCGCTGTTGGATGCCTCACCAATGTATGGTTCCAAGGCAGTGTGAACTGAATAAGGGGCGAGCAGGGCAGACTGGTACCGGGTCGAGCTGCTCTAACGGCACGGCGGTGCGGTAGAATGTGGATTCGGACGTAGGCGCCGAAGAGGGCACTGGCAGCCAACGAAGGAATGGAATTTCCCATGTCCCAGGAGACCATTTCTTCAGCGACTCTTCTTCAGCATGTGTGTTTGCATATCTGTGCCAGCTCTTGAACTTGTCCGAAGACATTAGGTCAATTGAGGTCGAGTAAAGCGTGGGCTCCTCCGTAGCGGACTCGTCTTCTCCGTCGTCATCTTCTGGGGGCTTCCGCCTCTTTTGTCGGTCTTGTCCCGCAGCCGGCGCTTCGTGGTAGAATTCTGTTTGCGAGTTTCGCTTCTCTGCGGTCTTCGTGGTTTGGCCACCCGGGAATGGTTGGTCTTCTTGGGCTGTGTGCTTACCGACTGCTCGGTAGTTTTTGCTTCTGATGTCTCGGTGTTCACTTTTTCAAAGAGGTAGGGGAAAAGCGTCGATATTGCCTCGTTCACAGAGAGCAAATTCTTGCTCCTAACGAGAGCTTCCCATATCGCACCCTCCCCATCAGGAAAGGGATTGTGGAAAAAGAGTCTCTGTCCTATGTAGCGACATCTTTCGTCTGATTTCACGCGTTCAGACTCCAGATCTTTCAGTGTTTGCATTACCGCGCTTTCAGCATCTCCATCTGTTGCTGCATTCACAACCGATCTGAGCCTCCAAAGTAATCGAAAATTTTCTTCGACAGGTATGGTGACTTTGTTGTATGAAGACATGAGTTCTTTAATGTTCAAATTTGGGCACCGGAGCTGAAGCCAGTCTTCGACAGCAGGTTCCGAATCTGGGTCAGTGTTGGGCCAATCTTCGATGTTGGGAAGTGTTATGTGGTCTAGGTAAGGAGGAGGAGTGAGTGGCTGCATGTTGCTTGAGTTGGTTCACTCCGTCAGGAGGTCATTGTTTATCTGTTGAAGAACGACGAGCCTGCGCCAGAAAGTTGATGATGTGGAAAGACAGGAGACGTTAATGGAGTGTCACCCAAGTGTCACCTCTAACTAACGTTGCCGCAGCTGCTGCCAAGATTGCTGCCTGCGCCTGCTCGATGCTCGTGGGTGCTCGTCTCGTCGTATCCTATCGATTGTCTTATCGATAAGCCCAGATGCCCGTTGAGCCGTTAGTTATTTTTAGTATTTGTGATATCTCTATTTCTGTGGCAGTCGTGAGCCAACACATGCGCGTGATGCTTCCAACCCGCGACCTGATGAAGCCGCGCCCAATTATTTGCTACAAGGGCGCTACTACCTGAAACAATATGGATCCATTCGTAGAACTCGAATGCACCTGGCACTGGGGAATGTCTGGGCTCCCGCATATAACACCCCAGTTCTTCCCACTGCTAGAGAAAGAATGATTCTCTACCATCTAACATCCCATTCAGGATGGACTTTGTTTTACAATCTTGGGCAAAAGACAAGAGCGTTCGCGCCCTCCTCCTTCCACTATCTGACGCTGCACACTATTCGGTTGTGCTGCCCCAGAACGGAACGCAGGTGGAACAAATTCGACGCCCGCCACCTCGACCGGCATCTCCCGCAGCTGACGATGTCAAGCCCCAACCAGATAGCGAAGGGCACCTTGGAGCCATAGCGGAACAAGCTCTCCAATCGGCAGAGAAGGCTCTGGTCCTCCGCCAGAACAAATTCCTGGATTGCTTTTCGTTCGGTTCAGATCTGGGCAACTATTTTGTCTTGAAAAGCGATCCTAAGTCGGAGGAGGATGTTTGCTATGTTAACTTGCATCATTGCGAGTTCTTTCCTGACCCAGACTTCCCCTACCTATGGCTGAAGAACTTGTCGACATCTCAACAGAGCGTTCGAGAATGGCCAGCCTGGTCTCAGACCCATCAAATCTTGTCCGGAGGCAATGTCCGACTTGATGCTGGCACATGGATCCTGACCCTTGGTCAAGGTCTGCAGTTTCTGTTGCACATTCCACTCCCGCCGGATGCGTACCAGCTCGGCACGAGCGTCCTCAAGCCTACCAGGCCCTCAGATCCACGGAAAGCCGATCCCAGAGCTCCAACAAACCCTGCCAAAACCGATGTTCACCTCGACACCAAAAAGCGAGTCAACCCTCCTGCCAAAGACTACACTGGAATGCCCGAGCACGCTCCGACATCACTTCAAGAATCAGCAGATGATGTACCGCGGGTTCAAGATGTGGAAAACTTGATTGGGGATACACGCCATTCCCGGGTTGAGAAGGGCAATTGGTCAGGGAAAAGAGTTGCAATCAAATTCTGTCGACGTCCAGATATTCCACTCTCCGCCAAAATGTGGCAAGCGGAGGTCCTCGCCCTGAAGATTCTCGGCAAGCATGTGAGTTAAACCTGAAGTCAACTCTTTCTGACTCAAAAACTAATACTCACGGGGATTTAGCAAAATGTGGTTCAGTTCTTCGATTCAAATGCTGACAAGTATTCCATAACAATGGAACTTGTCCCTGGATTAAGCCTCGAGCACTATGTCGACCAGAATCGGACCTCTACTCTTACCGAGACGCAGTCCCTGGACATCTGGATTGGTGCCGCACAGGGCTTACAGTGGGTGCATGAGAAAGGCTTTCTTTACAACGACCTCAAACCTCAAAATACCATGTACGACCCGAAATCCGGTCGAACAGTTTTGATCGACTTCGGCCTTGCATCTCCAGAAGCCATTACGTACTTTGTTGGTGGGGGTACTCCATGTTATGTCTGCCCAGAGTATGTGAATCGACAACGATACCAAGTCAGCGACATCTGGTCTCTGGGTATATTGGTGATGTTTGTTCTCAGATTGATAGAGCTTCCCCGTCAATCTTGGGATTTGGCGCAAGTGTTTGATAGGAGTTCGTCTCACCGGCAAAGGATGAACGCCTGGCAAGACGAAATCTTGACCAAAGTCAACACCGCGCCCGGCCGTCATCTGGAACTCCTACGTCGTATGTTGTGCAAAATGCCAGACGACCGTATCCACGTAGACGAGCTTGTGACCTGTCTTCGGGAGGCGCGTCATTCTCACAAGCTTTTGGCATAGTATTTGTCTTCGAGAGGCCCGTCATTCTCATAAGAGTTTGGTCTAGTATTTGTCTTCGACAGGCGCGTCGTTCTCATAGGTTTTAGTATAGTATTGGTTGTTGTCATTCAAGTCGGTTAGCAAGTTGGGATTTCCAAAGTTATTGTTTACTTGTCACTGCCTTATTTATTATGGTATCCGCTGTTGAATATCGAGAGATTTAGTGAGACTTTCATACAAATATATGTCAAGACTTGAGCGCAACCAACCGGCTACGGAGATAAGTAAGCCTGTAACGGCCTATGTCCGTACTGTAAAACGATTCCCGCCGCTCCGCCAATGAAAGCTGGAGCTGGCGCTGGCCGTGAGATCTCTCGTGAGCAGAACGCGGACAACCGCATTCAGGGATTCACGGCAGCTTCAATCTTTGCATCCCGATTTCCATCTCCAGCTGGAAAACACAGCGAAGGAAAAGAGTCATCATTCGATTTCCATTACCGTATAAAGTGGGCGGACCCGAAAATGCGGACGAAAAGCTTCGATGCGAGGCCGGCGCCTGCATTTGGCTTCAGCAAAACTGTCCATCAATCCCGATCCCTCGCCTTCATGGATTCGCACTCTCGACAGGTTAGAGGGTAAGAAGTTAGGACGACTTGCAAACCCTGTTTCATAGACTTGCTAACCTTACGTTAGTTTACCGCTATCGAGCATTTTCCTCTCCTTCCCTGGTTGGCACACCATCTCCACCGCCGGCTACTTGCGTGGCTGCGATTCCCCGTCCCTTCGAGATACATTCATCATCGAGGACTATGCTTCGAATCCTTGGGCTCCGGCTATCTACTGATCGATATATTGAAAAAACGCAGGGTCAAATGCTATTACATACATGGAACGAGAGGCATCAAGAGAGGGACTTTCGCAAGAACCTCTTTCAGGGTTTGTCCCGGATCTTGTTGAACATTGCACGAGTGCCACTTCCGCGCATTGGCTCCTTCACCGTGAACGATGATGGATCCTTACTCCTGGCTAACAGGCCACTTTCGGTGGTGGTTCAACAGCTAGAGAATGAGCAAATCCCGGTGGATATTCCTCGTCATCTAACCTACACCTCAGTGGACTCGTATGTGATTGATATACTCAATTGTCTACACGACAGTCGGTTACGCCATCAACCAAACGGTGCCAGCGACAAGAGTGACTGCATCTACCAGATGTCGGCTTTAGCCGCCATGAAAGCTGTTTCGTCGCTCTTTCTACGACGCGACCTCTGCCATGGGCCCTTTCTTTTCAATCTGACCGATCTACATCAGAGTAATATTTTTGTTGATGAAATCTGGAATATTACATGCCTGATTGACCTTGAATGGGCTCTCTCCAGTCCCATTGAGATGATCTACCCTCCCCGTTGGCTAGCCAATCAGGATATCAACCAAATGGACGAGGAGATATACGACCCGGTTCGTCAAGAGTTCATGGATATTTTGGAGCACACCGAGCAGGAGCTCTCCATCCAGCCTCATCAGAGACTTTCGCCTGTCACGAAACAAGCGTGGGAAATGGGGATGTTCTGGTATACTCTGGCTCGTCGTAGCCCAATGGGGCTTGTTCGGGTCTTCTATGATCACATCCAGCCGATACTCGCCAGTTGGCACGAAGAAAACAGCGAATTCTACACGATCATGCTGGAGTATTGGACTATCAACTCGATTCCATTCATTGATCAGAACCTGGCAGATAAGGAGGACTATGATAGGCAGCTCCGTCAAGCGTTTGAGGATAAAGCTGATGAGACTTTGGAAGACGCCCCTTGAAAACCTTTCACTTTCGTGTTTGCCCTTGCGGATGATCTTGATCATGACCGGTTCCCTCTTTCCTTGCCCCTTATCCGACTTTCCGAGCCGCCTCGTCGAGGGAAGTGACCTCGCCAGATCCTCAAATCGGTACATCAAGCGCATCACATATGGAAACACATTATTCAACGTCGGAATCTCGACATGGGCACTTTCCATCTCCATCTTTGGAACCGAGCATGACCTGAGCCTCGCCGCTTCAACCTGAACAAGTTCGGCACGTGACTGATCACGGTGTTCAATCAGTATGGGGACGTGCAGGACACGCAAACAGCGGGAATGGATGGCAGAAACGGACAAGATTTGAGCACCGGTCCAGATGGACACATGACTTGCCTTGACTCACTGGCCTGAATTCGTATATACACTCTGTTCGTGTATCGAAGTTCCAACTGAGCTTGCACAGAAATCACTGCGGCGTAAGGTCAAAGCAACGTTGCTGAAGATCGAACAATTTACACCGCAGGAAAGAGTTGTGGAATATGCCTAGGTTCGTAATTTACTCCGCCCCGACGTTCCTAATTTGTTAGGCTGCTCTTGCGTGAGCACCAGGTCTTTTTGCGGGTGAGCAGTCTGCTTGAGACTGATCGGCAACACAGGTTTCCAATGATGCCGCGTATGTACAAAATCTTCCTTTACGGCAGAGCCTCTACACTTCCCAAGCGGTATCGCTGGGGTTATGCCATGTCGACATTGCCAGACTTTGGCCTTTGCTCGAATCGATCAGCATCGTACTTTTGATCGGTCTCTTCGTCGGCCATCACGTTTCTGGTTCTCCTTGGCTCTCTTCTTCTCCGCTTCCACTTTCTGCGTGGAGAGTTGCACGTCCGAATGCAAAACGCCTGCTCTCATGCTGGTATTCACATATTCAACTCTCTTCTCGCACGCCGAGACTCCGACTATCCTGATTCAGCCGGCTTCTTGAAATTGGCCTCACCCACCCGTCTACACATGACCACACTCTTGGCTACTTCACACTCTTGGCTACTTCACACTCTTGGCTACTTCACACTCTTGGCTACTTCACACTCTTGGCTACTTCACACTCTTGGCTACTTCACAC